ATACGTTCAATACAGCATGTGATCATAATTAAATTTACATATTTGAGTTTGCGATTAGTCTCACAACACACTAGGCAGCACTTAATATCTAAAGTTTGTGTGCACTTCATGTGAATTTTCAAATTAGAGTATGTAGTGAAAGTCATTGAGCACTGGATAGCCATATGCTCTTTTAAAGCATTAGCCTGTCAAACAGTAAACTGAAAGATCTAAAAATTGTTTTATTCCTTACTCAATAACACAATTTTTAGGTATTTCAATGTACTGTTTTATTTTATCAAAAAAGGCAATTATCTAACAAATATGGATCTAAAACTTATAATTAATCTAAGTGATCAATAGACAATCTATACCACAGTAGAACAAGTGATAATATTCTTCGTGATACCATGTTTTGCGCATACACACTACTGTTGCCGAAATTAGCAACATTTTGCTAGACCTATTGAATTTGAAATAACTCTGAATGTTTCATCTGACGTCAATTGTTGGAATGCAGTATTTACTTGCAAATGTGACTTCCGTAACAATAAAGAGAAAATATCTTCATAAGCTGTGTGGATCAAGCTCGATTGAACAAAAATACGATTGAAAAAATAGCGATACTATATCGATGACTGAGAACCAGATTGTTTATAGTCAATATTTTTAGCAAAATGAAATTTGGTTAATTGTACTCAGTGTCCTTGTCTACATGTATGCATCAAACAAAATTGTGAATATTATATTCCATAAGTTTGCAACAAACCCATTCCTTAATAACCTATTTCTTACTTACCCATTACATTCATTAGCTCTTCTGAAAAATCTATGGACTTAGAACTCTCTGGTTCTCAGCGATCGATATGTATTAATAGTACTTACTTCAGAACTTTCACGTACATAATAGCCAATGTTAACCTTTATCAAGGCATGCCAAATTCGAAAGGACTCTAAACCAATGGAAATTATTTACCCCAAAATGGAAACACTTGTTCAAATTAGAATTTAAACATAATTTTTATTTCAATTCTCTGAATGATACAAAAATTATGAAACTTGACCAGCTCGTTACCTGGATTAGTATGGAAAAATATTACGATTACATAATTATATTAGTAATGCAAGGCCAAAGCGCGGCCACGCCAAGTCATACATAAATCTTATCTTAATTTTTCTCCGTTCATTTAGGTGTAACCAAGAGTCCTTTTCGTGTACCCAAGTCGCTTGAAGAGCTTTTAGAGCACCGTGTACCCAAGTCGCTTGAAGAGCACCGTGTTCTTGCGCGTCGGTGTGCTCTGTCGCGTCGGCTGCGGGCACTCATTGGCCCGACAGCCGTCTTGCAGTGGGGAGGCTGGCGCAAGCTGCGCGGCCTGCCAGACTACGCAAGGCCGGGGCGGCCCATTGACAGAAGCTAAGTGGCGCGGGCTATTCACTGCTCGCAACGGTGCGCGGCGGCGACGGTCCACATCGCACGTCAAATGTCACCAGCGCACTCTTCCTCACTCTGTCCTCAAATAAATGCGGCAGGTCTTGAATAATTCGCGGAACTTCGCGAATGAACAACAGTCGTACGTTTATGGTGGTGCGAGATAATGCACCTAGCTATCGAAGTTAACATTAATGGGTGCCTAATCACGACTTCTGCACCTGACGTTCATCATTTCCGTTGAATATTTCATGACGCCCCTACGCGCCCCGAGGTCCGATTTGCTAAGATAACTTAACACAATTTCTAAGATCATATTGCATCAAATAAACGCGTACAAGAACGTTATCTCTCACTCCGAGACTCGATCAACTCGGCGGTCGAACACCGTCTTCCCGTCTGCGATCCGCTCGTCTCCTCCTCTGCTCGTCCTCCCTTTCCAAGCTTCTAAAGTCCCTTGTTCTTCCTGCCCTGGAAATTACGATCTGTGAATGGTCAAAATTAATTGCGCATTAAAGTTTTTCGGCCATTCAACGTAGAGTTCGCGAATTCCCATCTACGCAATACCGTCCACACCCTAGCCGGTGCGTTGTTGAGATTTGGGGGTGAGAAGCGAGGATGGAAGTAGGTCCGTGTCGTCGGCACATAAACAAAAGGAGCGGCGGGCAGGCCAGCGCGCGTCCGCGGTAACGAGTACACGTCCTGAGGTGACCCTTAGGGCCGGAGGGTGCCTTGTCTGGCCTCGTAACTGCGTTTCCCACACCCAACTGCACGTTTCCTAATGTTACGCGATTTCGAGATAAACTTAGCAAGAAATGCTTATAATTTCCTACAAAATAATCCTGCAAACTCTGTGCCGCCTCAATATTTTCCAACAATATTTTTTTCTGAAATGGTCTCTAATGTCATAAAACTATCCTTGGAGATCATGGAAGTTATCACTTGCTTTTAAAAGCATATAGATGCTACTCGTGCCTAATGCAGAATTGTATAGAAACATGAAATATGAGTTATGAAGGTCTTTATTGCATGCTATTAGATACCAGAAAAAAACCTATTGCACAATTGGGCGAATACCGTCAAGTGACAATAAGGAAAATGCATACTATAAGAATCTACAAATTATATTTTCAAGTAAATTTACCATACTTAATGTACGAGCACTACGATTTAATGTCTGATTTGATTTGGTTTTGGCTATAGCAAAATACTTAATGAAGGAAAAGGTCAAGCATTAAAATAGAATCTTTCCCAACTCCCTCTTGACATAGAATCAGGAAGGTCATTAAACCTAAATATGGCTTCTGTGCGTCAGAAAGACATTGCTATCTTTTATAATGAAATCCCTGAAATTTAATGATTTTTTAATAGCAGATTGTACCTTTGCTGTTTGAAAGATAGTATACTCTGAATAGGTGTTTTATTTAATACAATTTTTGAGGAGGCAATGTGATGTCCTCTTTGTCGTAGGAAAGATTTTCCCGGAAAGATATTTCCTAACGGTTAGAAAATATAAAATTACATTCAACAGTGTCTCTCTCTCCGCACTACCCTGCCCCGCCTAGCCATACATCTTTGTTTTCCCTTACACCTTGCTGCATTGTGCCTCTTCACACCTCTCACCAACCGCGTCTTCTCTCCTCGTTGCCCTGGCGCGCTACCTTGTCCGATCCGGCCCTGGGTTGTCGTACTCCGACCGCAACATCTCGCACGCCGATCATTCACCTCCCGCCTCCACCTGATCACGCCCCTTT